ACCCTTACTAAAAACAAAGGTAGTATTACCTGCATCATAGGAACCAACCTCAAACATCCAACTGGCCCAGTGTCCTGGTCTCCAAGCCTGTACGATAGCACCAGTAGGATCTTTGTATGGTTGATTGGGAAGAACAGATTTATCTGCTACCATTCCAGAGGGTATTCTATAAGTAAAAGCTCCACCTCCTGAAGTACCACTACCACACCAGTAACCTGCTGGTGGATCAAAGTATTTACAAGGTCCTCCTATACCAAGTTGATATTTCTGGAAGCTAGCAGATGAGTTGCGAAGAGGAGTGTCCGGATTGACCTCCGTGTCTGGCTTTTGTGGTAGAGTGGGTGGTAACCACTTCTTTGCCTTGAGGCTTGAACTAAAACCATTTAAAAATGGATTAGCATTTGGATAGCGGGCACGAATAGCACGAGAATCATCTACAATAAATCCAAGCATTGAATCAATATTATCTGAGGAAAGATCTGCTTTATAAATGTTTGCATTATTGTCCATTTTATATGCCTCCCAGTTTGGTTGAATTGGTTTTCCTCCACTAATCCACACTTCTTCATTTTGAAAATTTTGAATGGTCAGTCCAGAATCTCTTTGATCAAGCATGAGAGTCTCTGTCAAATAAAATGTACCCTCCCTAAGAATGATTGTTGCAGGTGGTGAAGAACGTGAAGCACTGAGAGCTTTCTCAATTGTTTTAAAAGGATGTTGCATTGTTCCTGGATCAGAATCACTACCTTTGCTTGCGTCAACATAATATGTTGTTCCTGCATCAGAGGTTTCAAAAGTAGGTGGAACATAGCCTTTATCATCAGGTATGAAGTCAACAGAGACATTACAATTCTGTGCTTCTTGTGCTCCATTTAATGCATCAGCAATCTGTTGGAACTGCATCTTGGTTCGAAATGGCTGTATCTTTCTAGCATACTTCATAGCAAGGTCCCTCATCTTGCAATCAAAAGATTTCATGTCAGCAGAGGAATAACTGACCAGGGAGGTTGCCATTATAAAGAGTAGAAGTGCTTTGGAAGACATTTTCTTTGGTTCTTTCTTTCAACAGTTTTCCAGCTCCACCCTTATAAAGGTCAAACAAAAAAGCACAGCTGTACAGCATGACTGCGTGACACACCCACGCATATAAATTAACATTTATTTTATAATTTTTATTAACAACGCATCGTGAAAATGAATGGAGGCGATAATGGAGGTCAGTCAGTAATTAAAATGTGTCTGATTTACATACATTTCCTTTTTGCTTTAGAGCCTATTCGTGCTCCTATTAATGGAGATGGTCCTATGGTTATTATTGAGAACGAAGGAGTAGTAAATCCACCAGCTAGACCTGATGACATTGAAAGTAAGAGCTGGGTTAGATCCTTGGTTAAATCATAGATAAATGACTTAGATCTCGCTCTTAATTAATGTATAATTATTCTGAGTAGGTGCTGATAATATTGAACAATTGTTTCGTGTTGTCGAAAATTTGACTCGGGAAAATTTGAACATCATGCAAGACCTTGTCAGAATGACAGGACTTGGCGAACCCCATAACGTAGAGGAAGAAGACATAACAAAGAGAATTGGAGGAGAGAAGACACTAGAGGAAGATCTAGCCATTGATTCCACACTGATTGACCTCGCAGATGTAAGCTGTATGGTTTTGTCTTTTATTTCTTTCTTTTTAGAATACACTGAGTCGTCTCAAAGGTGTATTAAAATGGCTGCAAGAGATTCAGCCTCAGAAATTTGACGTCCCTCAGTTTAATGATGCCATAGAGAAAGTCCTTAGGCAACTGGTAGACAAAAGGGTCTACATTTGCGTCTTGGGTCGATACAATGTCGGCAAGACTACTCTAATTAATGCCTTGCTAAGGAATGAGTGAGTACTATATAATATTTACTATTATTAATTTAGTAAGTTCACCAATGATTTGTTGTTTTGATAGAGTGTTACCTGTTCATATTGTACCAGAGACGGCCATTACATTGTACATTCAGCATGATGACAAGTTAAAGGATACTGTCCATGTACCACCAGAAGTAAGTAGTACACACAATGTAGCATTATTTATGCTATTAATAGCCTAGACTCATTAACTATGATGACTCACAACTTTTGGCTAAAGGAGTAGAGCAGGTGAGAAAAACGTTGAGTAAACTTCATCGTGAGATCAGAGAAAAATCAGTTAGGGTGAGTAAGACAATGGAGAATGTGTTGTAATTTTATTTAATGTGTGTGTAATTGTGCATGCTACCGTATATAGCGCTTTAATTTGGTGGAGTTTTATTTTGGCGATTGGCGGTTTGGAAGCAGAATTGCCAATAATAAAACCACCAATCATTAATGCGCATGCTCAGTAATGCACGTGTACACAAAAATCGCCAAATTAAAACCGTCAATTACAATTTTACAGCAAAATTGCCAAAATAAAACGCTATATGGTAAATCAATTTCTCATTATATGTAATTGAAAGTTGCAGTAATCTTGTTTTCTATTATACATGTGTATATAGAGTAACAACAACTATCTGCTCAAGATCAATTTTCCACTTTTAAGTGTAAGGTACGAGGATAATGAAAAACTCAATCGGAACCCAGTACCAATGCTAGTTGATACTCCCGGCTCTAATGAAGTCGGGGAGGCACAGTTTCAGATAATGGCCGAGCAGAACCTCAAATCAGCAGCTGCTTATATCTTTGTGATGAAATATGATGACATTAAGAATAAAGAGGACTATGCTGCCCTGAAGATGATATACGACAGAGACCCAAGTAAGTGATGAAGGTTACGGTAGCAGGTGTACTATTGCCATGTTGTTGTCTTTGTGGATTAATAATAAATATTCCTGGATATTGAAAGTTGTTTTTGGCTGTGGGCATTAGTCTAGCTATGACAAGCTGTGTCATAGACCACTTTTATGTATTCGTAATTCTCACGTGAACTATAGATAATATAGATAAATATTATTTTGTGTCTGTAGGTATATTTCAGAGTGAGAGGCTCACTATTGTCATCACTTATTATGACAAGGCTTATGAGAATGAGCACAGCCATATGACAGTCAAGGCTATACAAGAGCTTGTGGCAAGGACAATCAGTCAAGAGATCAAAGCCAATGTATCTAATAATATAATAATACCTATCTGCGGAAAACTAGCTAGTGATGTAAGCTTTTATTATAATGATGTATTAATTTTGAAGGTTAAAACCTTCTGTGTTAACACCTTTCTTGTTAACACCTCAACGTGTTAACAACTTGTGAACAAGATTGTTCCTTGTCATTACATTATTATAAATAATGTACTCTATTCCTTTGCCTATAGGCCCGTCAGTGTGGCAGAATAAGTGGTGCTAAACGGACTTACAATGAAGTACAGATGAGTATAATATCGGTCAAATCTTTTGAGTCAGTTGACTCCGATCTCAGCAAAACTTCACAGGAAGTTTTTTCAATGCAGAAAGATGATGTACTTAGAACTGCAGAGGAGGTTTGTAGGATTGCAGAACTCGAGGAGAGGTGAAGATTGAGTTTATATTGTACTCGTTATTGGTGTCTTAGATCTGTAGTATTCATATACATGTACTTATAAATTATAATGATCTGCTTTAGGATCAAGTTAGTGATAGCAAAGCTGTCTTCAGTTTGGAAGAGCAACATTGTTGGAAGCTGTCACTCTTTCCTTGATTCTACCTCTGATTGTATCAGCCAACTACAAGAAGTAGTGGAAAGAGATGTTAGAGGTAAAGTGGATGCTCATTTGGATGATAGGGTCATGCTAAAAGCCTAATATTAACAATAAATATCAGCTAAAACTTCCATAAAAAAACATACATATGTAAGATTATATCTCTTTTATAGATATTACTGATCAGATACATCATGCTTCCAGGGCAGTTGATCATCATAAGGATATGTTAAAGAGCATTACACGTGAATCAGAAGTATTAATACGTCTGAGAGAGTCCTTTGATGCTGACGCAAACTATGATGTAAGATGATAATGAAAGGAGAAGCCAATTGTCAAAAAAAAGACTTTTCCATTTTTATAATTTTTCTGATGCATATACATGTCCTTATGTTGTGTAGCAAGTTTGAGCAGATTCCGATTAAGTTTAGATTTTTTATGAATTTTTAAAGTTGTTCAAAAATCAAGCCAAAATCCCTGTACTATAGTACAGGGATTTCGGCCAAATTTCGCCAAAAATGACAAGGAGAGAATTTTGCGTTTTCATAATTTTTTCTGATGCATATACATGTCCTTATATTGTGTAGCAAGTTTGGGCAGATTCCGATCAAGTTTGGATTTTTTTATGAATTTTTAAAGTTGCTCAAAAATCGGGCCAAAGTCCCTGTACTATAGTACAGGGATTTCGGCCAAATTTCGCCAAAAATGACAAGGAGAGAATTTTGCGTTTTTATAATTTTTCCTGATGCATATACATGTCTTTATATTGTGTAGCAAGTTTGAGCAAATTCCGATCAAATTTAGATTTTTTATGAATTTTTAAACTTGCTCCAAAATCGTGCCAAAGTCCCTGTACTATAGTACAGGGATTTTGACCAAATTTCGCCAAAAATGACAAGGAGAGAATTTTGCGTTTTTATAAATTTTTCTGATGCATATACATGTCTTTATATTGTGTAGCAAGTTTGAGCAAATTCCGATCAAATTTAGATTTTTTATGAATTTTTAAACTTGCTCCAAAATCGTGCCAAAGTCCCTGTACTATAGTACAGGGATTTTGACCAAATTTCACCAAAAATGACAAGGAGAGAATTTTGCGTTTTTATAAATTTTTCTGATGCATATATATGTCTTTATATTGTGTAGCAAGTTTGGGCATATTCCGATCAAATTTGGATTTTTTTTTACGAATTTTAATGTTGCTGCCAAAGTCCCTGTACTTCATGTATTATAGTACAGAGTGCCCATACAGTTATGTGATTGACCTGATGCATCTGCTGTTAGGCTAAGTTTCACAGAAAAATTGAAGACCGTCTTCAAACTCTGAAGCATACATTGACTGAGAAAAGAAGAGTTAGGAAATACAGCATTCAGGAGCTAACAGCAGGTGGTTGCTCAAATAATAACTACATGTACTTAAAAATAATTGAACTGATACCTAGTTTGGTATTTTATCAATTTTTTTCTGAAGAGGTCAATGAATCATTTCAGAAGAATGTAATGACGGAAATAAAGACGTGGTTCTTTCAAACTAAATTTGTCAAGTGTCAGAGATGTCTTCATCTAAGAACCCAGAGGATATCAGAGAAGTTTGGGCGGTTTCGGGCAGCAGTGGCAATGGTACAGGAACATGGGGCAACACCACAAACAATGGCATCATTCTATCAAGGTTATTGGGCTTAGAGTACACTTCCTCTGTTCTAGTATACTTCTTCATCCAAATTAATTATTTTTTGTTTACTTCCAAATCTTGTTAGCACCTCAAAGTGTGAACAATTAGGTAGTAAATAAAGTGTAAAAATTCAGATGAGACTTTTTTCATGTAAGCATAGTCTTGAAATTGGCTCAAACTTTCTACATAGTAAAAAATATATATAAATGAAAAATGCATAAAATAGTATGGGTGCTTTTTGAATTAATGATACATAATATTAGTGACTGTGGTTAGTAATGGTCTCTTAATCATTAGAACTTGGAGCTGAACCAGTTGGTGATGATGTTGATGATGTAATGGAGTCAAAACTAAATAACATGGCAGTAGCTGATTTAAAGTGATAAAATCTAAGACTTAATTTTATTTTAATTTTTTGTTACAGTACAATCATTCACAAGACATATTCATTTCGAATGAAGTAAGTGAAAGATGTGAAATGTGTTCTTGTACTTACTATCAACATGCTTTGTTTTTTAGGCTACCATTTGTAAAAGCCAATGTTCTAAAGTAAAAATAATAAATGATAAGATGTATGCTATAGTGGTCTGGTGTCCTTATATTATAGTGAAGAAGATATTATTGATCAGTTGGTTGCAAATAGGAGAAATGCGATTAAAGAGCTTCATGGAGAGTTCTTTGCAGCCATTAAGGAGCCCATTGTATTAGTAAGTGAATGAACCAAGAGCTAGGCATTAGTATTTCTTTATTTTGCAGCATTTTTTCAAATTATATGTGAACACTGTGTTGAAAGAGTTGCAGATGTTTGAGAGGATGTTAGAGAGAGATGGAGGTCACGAGAAAGTTCGCAGAGCTTTTGATAAAAAGGTAATATCTCTATAGCTATATAGCTATATTAATGTTTTCTCTTTTTTATAGGATGAGTTGGCTCCAAAGCAACAAATAAAGAGGGACTGTCAAGTCTTGCAAAGTCACCTTAAAAAATTAAAATCAAAACTGACCATTATGTCAGAGCAGTAGAGTAACATTTTCTTCTATTTGTAACTGTGCATTATTAATATTTGTATTTTCATATACATAATGTGCAAACAAAATTAATGAACAAACTCAGTTTTTTTGAGTAAAAATAATGAAAAATACATTATTTAAATAATAATTGTGCCATAGAGTGATTATACATAAACATGTGCATACAAAAATGTATGCGTGAAGGGACTAGAAGTATCTAAGCACAGAATTGCTCAATGACAGTTCTAATCCAGCATGTCTTCAGTGTAGCATACACTCTATCAGTTGTTAGCAGTTCGTATAGCATGTAATGATCATCTTTCTCATCCAACCCTCTGTCAGCCTTTATAGCAGCTACTAGGCACATCACTCCCTTGAAGCCAGCTCCAGTCACAGCATCAAGGATAACTTTAACTGCTTGAGAGCGTTGTGAGTTGTTCTCTGCTATGACTATGGCATCGAGTTGATCCGGACTAACTAGTATCTTCGATTGATATAAATGATTCCTGACTCCAAGATCAAGGTGATCGACAATGTGGGTATAATGACTCTCAATGTATTTTGAAATTATGCTATCACCACCTAATATAAAAGATAATATCCTGATTTTCCTCTCTGTAACTTTTTATTATTTACATGCTACATTATTTGTGGCCCAAGTTCTATAGCAACAGTTGAAAATTGACATACCTTCTGTATCAGAAGACAGGCTGTCCTGCATAGCAACTATCTTGATATTGTTACTAGTTATAGTGTCCAATACAATATCATCAGATATAATACTTGCCTAAAAAATAAGATGACAATATTAACAAAGTCATCATTCAGTATCATTGTGCCATGCAAAGGCTATAGCTCATGGTTTTTCTCAAAAATGGCTCCAAAATCACCCTTAATTTTTTTACATTTTCTAATACATTTTGGTGCCCTTATGTTGTGTAGAAAGTTTGAGCTGTTTCTGACAAATAATTTTTGAGTTTTTATGCTAATATATCATTAGCTTTGATCAAAACAGGATTTTTATTCCAAAAGTTGTGCTAACATACAAAAGGGGCATAAGCCCCTTTTGTCCAAAGTTATGACAACAGTTAATGATTATGGCTTCTAATAGTGAAACACCTGTTACCTACATGTATGAACAAGAGTATCTACTCTTGCTAGGAATAATAACATTTTATTAGGACTTACTGGTCTGGTGGCCTTTGGAAAAAGATAACTACTCTCTACATTGAAGTACTAAAAGGAAAACATCAAATAAACCAACGATTGATTGAACTGAGTATGTACAGTACAACCAAATATGTAGACACAATTAAGAAACAGGTGTTTGGGGGAATATATCTATCCTTTAGGTGGGCTCTTACTCCCAACACTTTGCTGCTGATATAAGAGGTCAATTGGTGTAACTGGATGTTTACTAAATGATTTGTACCACCTTTGATGTCATACTATATAATGACACATTGGCACCTAATCTAGACATACACTATCTTTACTCTTTTAGCAAAAACTACTACATTACAAATATTATGCTTAAATTATAGTTAAAAAGTAACACAAACACAATTTAGAAAGCTATTGTACTCTAATGGGGAAAACTGCACAACGGGGATAAGTGCAATTACCTCATGATGTTCTGTTGCTTTTGTAGCAATCCAGAATGAGCGAGAGTTGTCCACATCACAAAGCTTTGTCCTGTATAACTTGCGCATGCACTCCAGGTAAGAAGTGAGAACTCTTGTCAAATGAAGGTGACCTTTCACTTGAGAGCATCGAGAGTCCCGACACTCAAAGAACCCACTCAACGCTTGTTGATTGCTTATTTCGGGCGGTAATAATTCGCTGATTCTTTCCTTTAATTCTCCGATAATCTTACCAGCAACAGTACACAGACTGCTATATTGAACGGGGACATTGTAGAGCGTAGCTAGTGATACTTTAATGTATCCGTGTACATTACTTAGTTGGATGGAATAGTCGCCTAACTTGTCAAGCTTCATCTCAAAAACTGCCAAAGAGCGACACTGGCATTTACTGAGTTTGAGTATTGTGGAGGATTTCATCCACAGCGACGCAACGAGCTTCTCGAAAAACCCAGGAGGCATTGAACCCAACGGAGTGAGTATGTATATTGGAGAGATGCGTGGGTTTTCTGGAAACTCAAGGCTCTGATGAAATGGTAGAAAGAGAGTAGAGAAGTACTCAGTGGGTTTGCCTCTATTGACTAGCAAACTATGAGCGCCCAGTAAATGAACGAGTGACCGCAACGAGTCAGACTTAGCGTCATCGTTGTCTTTCTTCCAGTCTATGTTAAACAAATAAGGACAGTCTATTCTTGTGGTCTGAGAGAGAGACTTTAACTGTCCAAGACTAGAGAAGAGCCACTGAGGGTCAATAACGACACACGAATCAGAAATTTTGAGAACGAGTTGAAGGGATTGCAATGTGGATATCAATATGTGAAGATCCTCTGGTGATATCAGAAATACGTCTGCTACTTCTATGAACTGCTTCATAGACAATACCGGTACATTGTATTTCAAGCTGTATGCTTTGATGTAAACTGTGAATGAGAACCACTCCCAGCAGAAGCTCTCCTTGTGATTGAGGATATCAGCAACTGGTGGTGGGCTATCCAAATCATTCGTTATTAGTACTTTTGGGGAACAACTCCTATTGGTGTTTTCCTCAAACATTTTGCTTAACTTGCTCACCAAACAGTTTCCGATGGATTCCAACACTTCCCCTGTCAGGGCCTGATCACCAAAACAAGTTTCCTTACGAAATTGGTCGGCATCTGAAAGATGAAACAAAATTTGTGAGGGAGTGCTTGATTGAGCAGTAGAGACTACGTTTGCTTGCTGTAAGAGTAGGTCCATCTTGGTTTGGGTTTTTCCAGAAAGGAAGTAATGAACTGGTGAAGTGACTTGAGTATCGGGCAAAGACTTAAGGCTGGAGCTAAGGAACAAGGTTGGCTTCCATAAGGAGTAAAACTGTGGCTCCAAGACACTGCAGAATGGAAAGTCGGTCCCATTCACATGTTGATGAATGTGTAGAACCAGAGGCTGAGATGAGGGAGAAAGAAATGACGACGAGAACTGGTTGCGTAACAACTGATTGAATGATCTGTAAGAATGAGTGACCGGGGGTGGAGGGGAGTTTGATCCACGTGTACCGAACGACGACATGAGATTCTCTGTGAGAATTGGACACAACTCTCCATCACTCAAAAGGTAGAGGCCATTGCTGGGCTCAAAGCCAAACAACGCCTTACAAGTGGTAGCAATTTGATCCTTGCTACCCAGTAAGCATATGTTGCATATCGATATGTTCTTTGTTATCTCTGGCAGGTTTTGTGAGGTATTAGTACTGTCAGTTGTTATGTCACCGAGTGACAATGGCGACGATAAGTTTAGTTCAGTGCTCATTGATAGATTCAAATCTCTTGAACCATGTTCTAATAGTAAGAGAATAGATAATAATAGTTATAAGCTATTCAAAGACTTAGTCCAACTAACCTGTTTTATCAATAAATACATAGTCTGGATCATCAGAGGATTGTCTTTCTATATAACCTAAAGATGATAAGAAGTAACACTAAACACTGAATCCTATCATATTGACAAAGTTTGTACATGCAAGGAATGTGCTGAATATGCTATTATATTATAGCTACACTAAAGTTGATAAATTAGACACTTAAACAACTTAAAATGTCATGATAAGTCATGAATTTTGCATTAGATTAGCATGTGCATGGTTCTTTTAGCTAGCGTAGATTGATTTATACTATATCCTGTCACGGATCATAGTCACGCAGTCATGCATTAATTATAATGATATCTTAGTCATGGATGGCAACTTGTGAAAAATGCTTATCTATACTCATAATTTCAATATACATGTACATGCGGTAAATGTAAAATGTATGAAAACAAATGAGTCTTTAATGAATTAGATACTAACTTTGTCTTCGTTCACAGATATTCAAAAAGCCATCAACTTCCATTTCTTCAAGTGATAACGCTACACAAAGAAGATTATAAAAATCACTGCATCACTACAATATATTTACAACTTAATATAAAAGTGACAATCCTATGGACTTAGAAATTTAATATCAAGGTTTGTAATTAATGTAGGCATGTACCTAACAGTATACAACATCCTGTTAATGGATGGTTTTAAAGTGATTAATGCATCCTTGGGAACTGTGAGTGTACATGTGTGGCCTCGAATGTGTATGCACTAATAGTTGTTTATAAAGATTGTGAATGTTGTCAATGCACAATAATAAAATGCAATAATTGTATTCACAAAGTCCCGGTGGTGGTTAAAAGATAAATGGAAAAATCCCCTTATCTCCAAATAAGGAGTGAAAAAACTAACCCACACAAAACAAACTGAGATTGGGTTAATGTCACTAGTCATTACAGATTGAACAATACTGAGTCTATTAGCATTGCTTGAGTCTATTAGCGTTGCCTGCACAATATATACACAATCATACCCTAAAATTTACACAACAGTAACTACATGTTATGAAGCATCCCAGTTGACCCTCCTTCACTTCTTGGCTCACAAGACAACTGTTCACAGCTACAAGCATGCAATGTCAATTTTTGGGCTTTTGCCCCTTTATAATTCCATCTGTAAACACTAATTGACTTTACAATAAAGCCGAGCCTAACTAACAATCAGTATAATAAAATCTATTACTGATTTACATTTTTCATCTCTTGGCTCGGCTTTGGCTAGTCTCCTCTTCTTACACATACATGTAGATCTAAGGCCCAAGAGTTTATCTTTAATCTTCCCAGGCACCTAAAATGAGATAGAGTAGAATCTAAACCACAATACAGGGCAACTGAAGCACTTACAATACTGCTGCATTGTCTCTTTTCTGTTCTTGCAGGATACATCGACGCTCTCTTGACCTATGCTCTTACCCGCTACCGGTATGTCTCCACTACAAATCGCACAAAATTTTATCAAGGACTTTCTTTGGGGCTACGGCCTCCTCTTTATAAGAAGATAGAAAATCGATCTAGAGGCGGAGCTTGCTTACAAATGAATCATCACCAGATATTAGAGTAAATGAAAGGGATAGGAAACCACCGTAAAATTTATGGGCATGTCATGCGTTGCCTAGCGACGTATGCACGTTGTCGTTTTTCTTACCGGGAAACTAGGAAAATGGAGGACCATCACTGGACTTCTTGGCTTATAATTCGTGTCCGATATGGAGTACAGATCCAGTTCCAGGTCAGCTGCAAAGATCAAGATCATATCTATCCATTGATACCTGGTTCAGAAGGACTGCACTAATGGCCCAAATGAAATCCTATCTTGAACTCCTACTGTCAAGTTGTCCAAACTGCCGATTTTGTTTTGTACCTTTTTCTGAAAGTCAATTTTATGAACCATCTATTGGTGTTTAAAGACATTAACCAATGTTATAACCGAGGTCTTGAGACATCTTCTAATAGGAAATATTGTATGGTTGTGATTTCTAAGCAAAAAGTAGACCCAAGTTTTGCTTTTGTTTTGTACCCTTAACTCGCCAGTAACAAATATTCTAGCCTTAAACTTTTTTGTATCAGTCTGTACTTCAAATGCGGAGGTCTTCCACATGTTTTGGGGCTTTCCTTCTATTTCATAAATAAAATAAAAATAAATATTCACTTTTACAATTTTTCACAATTAGAGATAATTTTGAATGATACAAGAGCATAAATATCATATGAAAGAAAATAGAATATTTAGCACAGCCATAAAGAAGGTACTACATAGCAAAGAAGCTATTCATTTTGTTTCTGGAGCTCAGAATGCAGCAGAGAAGTGCCCTTGTCATCACTGCAGGACCTTATTCTAATTTTTCATACACCATTTTACTCTAATAATCCGTTCAATTTAATACGGTATTAGCAACTAGCATTTCCTGCCGGGAACGGTGGTTTCCTATCCCTTTCATTTACTCTAATATCTATGTCATCACACAGATAATAGAGTATGAATATACTTAATTAATAGTTTAATGATAGCAAATTATTACCATAATTTTTATTGACATTTTGATAAATATGTCATAGTGTCATTAAAGTATTTACTCATGACAAATGTAGACTTTTTCTTGATATGTTTAGGAGCTCTTGGTGGTACACGATAATGATGCAATAGACCATATTTTGCTGGAACATAGTAACTGTCATTATAACCTTCCTTTACTG